GTATATGGCTTTTATCATGTGGAGGTATGTTCCTTGTATCCCAAGAATTTCAAGGGCCTTTATCATAAATGGATGTTGGACTTTGTTGAATGCTTTCTCAGCATCTGTTGATATGATCATATGGTTTTTATTTTTCTTTTTGTTGATGTGTTGGATTACAATGATCGATTTTTGTATGTTGAACCATCCTTGTGCCCCTGGGATGAATCCCAGTTGATCGTGGTGTATTATCCCTTTGATGCATTGTTGGATTCTGTTGGCAAGGATTTTGTTGAGGATTTTTGCATCAGTGTTCATTAGGGAGATTGGCCTGTAATTTTCTTTTTTTGGTGCTCTCTTTGTGGTTTTGGTATTAGTGTAATGTTGACTTCATAGAATGTATTTGGTAGTATTCCTTCTTTTTCAATTTTTTGAAAGAGTTTGTGTAGCATAGGCTGCTGAATTAGTTCATTGCTGAATGTTTGGTAGAATTCCTTTGTGAAGCTGTCTGGGCCTGGGCTTTTGTTTTGAGGGAGTGCTTTGATTACTGCCTCTATTTCACTGCTTGTAATTGGTCTGTTTAGGTGTTCTATTTCTCCTTTGTCCAGCTTTGGATGATTATATTATTCTAGGAATTTGTCAATCACTTCTAGGTTGTTGAATGTGTTTGCATATAAGTGTTCATAGTAATCTCTGATTATTCTTTTGATTTCTACTGAGTCTGTTGTGATTTCTCCTCTTTCATTTATAATCCTATTTATATGTGTTTTCTCCCGTTTTTTTTTTTTTTTTTTTTTTTTTTGTGAGCCTGGCTAGAGGTTTGTCTATTTTGTTTATTTTTTCAAAGAACCAACTTTTGGTTTCATTGATCTTTTGTTTTTTTTTTTAATTTATATTTCATTTATTTCTGCTTTGATTTTTATTATTTCCTTTCTTCTACTGGCTTTAGGGGTTTTCTATTTTTCTTTTTCTAGCTCTTTGAGATGTGAGACTAGGTTGTTTCTTTGAGTTCTTTCTTGTTTCTTGATGTGAACCTGTATTGCTATATATTTTCCTCTGATTACTGCTTTTGCTGCATCTCATACATTCTGGAACGTGTTGTCCTCCTTGTCATTCAACTCAAAGTATTTTTTAAATTTCTTCTTTGATCTCCTCATTAGTCCAGTGGTCTTCCAGTAGTGTGGATTTCAATCTTTATGAAGTGGGAGGGTTCCTTGTTTTCTTTTCATGATTTATTTCTAGTTTGATGCCTTTATGATCGGCGAAGATAGTTGGAATGATTTTGATCTTCATGTATCTGTTGATGTTTGTCTTATGGCCCAGTATGTGATCAATTTTGAAGAATGATCTGTGTGTTCTTGAGAAAAATGTGTACTTGGATTTTTTTGGGTGCAGTGTCCTACAGATGTCTGTTAAGTCCATGAGTTCTATGTCTTTATTTAGGGCTCTAGAGTCTTTATTTATTTGTCTCGTTGATCTGTCCATCGGTGAGAGTGAGTGTTGAAGTCTCCCACTATATATGTATTTTCATTAATGTCCGTTTTCAGAGCTGATAATAACTCTCTAATATATTTTGGTGCTCCTTCATTTGGTGAGTATATGTTGATGAGTGTTATATCTTCCTGATACATCGTCCCCTTGATCATAATGTAGTGGCTGTCTATGTCTCTTTTTATTTTTTTTTTTAATTTGAAGTCTATTTCATCTGATATAAGTATAGCTGTTCCTGCCTTCTTTTTTGGTCCATTTGCTTGTAGGATTGTTTTCCAACCTTTTACTTTTAGTCTGTGTTTATCTTTTGTGGTTAAATGTGTTTCCCGGAGACAGCAGAAGGATGGATTTTGTTTTTTAATCCAGCCTACTACTCTGTGTCTTTTTATTGATGAGTTTAATCCATTTATATTTAGAGTTAATATTGATATGTTGGCATCTGTATTTGCCATTTTGTTTGTCTTTGTGATTTTATTCCTTGCTTTATTCTGTTCTTCTTGATCATTCCTCTGTTGATTTTGGCTTTTAAGACTTCTTGTAGAATTTTTTGGAGTGGGGGTTTAGTTGTAATGAATTTCTGGAGTTTCTGTTTGTCTGAGAAGGTCCACATTTTTTGTTCATAGAGGAAGGAGAGCTTTGCAGGTTAAAATATTCTTGGTTGGCATTTGCTGTCTTGAAGTTTGTTGAATATGATACTCCATTCTGTTCTTGCCCGTAGTGTTTCTTCGGAGAAGTCTGAGGTTAACCTGATTGATTTTCCCTTATAAGTTATCTGTTTCTTCCCCCTTGCCAGTTTCATTATTTATTCTTTGTCTTGGACTCTAGCAAGCTTTACTATTATGTATCTTGCTGTAGTTTTCTTTTCATTGTGGTAATTGGGTGTTCTTGTTTCTTGTATGTCTATATTTGTCTCCTTTTTCATGCTTGGGAAGTTTTCTTCAATTATCTCCATGAATAATTTCTCAGTTCCTTTGTCTCTCTCCTCACCTTCTGGAATGCCTATAACTCTTATATTTCCTCTCTTCATGGAGTCTGATAATTTTCTGAGGATATTCTCTTTCTTCTTCCTTTGCCCTTCTCTCTCTTTTTCTCTTTTGGTTCTTTTTATTTCTGTATCTTCAAGAGTACTGATCCATTCTTCCATTTCCTCGGTTCTGTTTTCAATGCTTTTCCAAGAGCTCTTTGTCTCCTCCAGTAATCCTTTAGTCTCCTCCTTTTCTTTTATTTTCTTTCTTAAGGTCTCATTTTTGTTCTTCAGTTCATTGATTATTTGTCTCATCTCATTATACTTTTTAATCATGATAATTATTAATCCTCTGTCTGATAGGCAGAGAAGTTCTTCCATGTCATTGTTGTTGAGTTCTAGTGACTGATTTTCTTTTTGTGGTGTGTCCTTCTCCTGCAGGCTTCTTGGTTATTTGTATTTTTCCTTCACCCTGCTGTTGGCTTCCTAATTTGTTCTATGTGTTAGGATGTTGTGCCACTGGTGTTGGCAGGCATCTTTTTGGATTGCTCCTTTAGGGGTGTCGGAAACTGTTTATCAGACTGAGGCCATCAGTGGTAGGCCGAAACTCCACCAGGATGTTGATGCTGTGGCTGTGTTGCTGGGCACTGTCTCTTACATTTCCCTCCCTCCATATTTACTCAGTTCCAGCAGGGAATCAGTTAGTTGGTGATTTTGCTCTGGTCACTAGGGCGCTGGAGACCTGCACTTGCCAACCTGTGCTTTTTCCCTGTGATTCTCTGAGAAATGGAGCGGGGGAGGGGAGCACCTTGACACAGGGGTTATTACTCATGCTGGGTGCTGTGTCTGCCCCATGTTCACCCAGTGCTGTGCTGGCGGCTGTGTGGATCCCGTGCCCTGAATTCTCTGCTCTAGTTCTCAATCTCAGGGTCTCAGATCCAAAACGACAGCTGTCACCCTGTGCAGTGCTCACTGTTATAGCACGTCCCACGCCTTGAATCCTGTGCCTAGCTCAGTTCCAGAATGGGCTTCTGCTCTCTGCCTTGTTTCCCTTCTTCCCTCCATTCTTGTGGCCCACCCCCTCTCAGAGCTTGAGGTTGGTTTTGGAAACCCTGGCTTCCAGCTATTAGGAAGTTGGTGATTTTGTTCTGATCCCTAGGTGGCACCAGAGATCTTTCCTAGTATCCTTCCAGAGCTGTGCTTTTCCCCCGTGGGTCTCAGGGGAACTGAGTGGGGGTGATGTGGAATGGCTCAACAGTGTGGGGTGCTGTGTCTGCCCTGTGCCTCGCGTTGTGGGGATTCCACACCCCAAATTTTGTGCCCCAGGTCTCAGTTCTGAAGCCCTCAGATCCAGGACACGGGCGGTAGCCCAATTCAGTGTCCGCAGAAATGGTGTCTTTTGCACCCTGCTCCCGAGCCAAGTGCCTGGTTTTTGATTACTCAGTGAGGGTCATTCACCTCAATGACAGTTCCCATGTGTCTCCCCACAAACCTAAGTCACATCCCCATGATCCACATATGCTTTTTGAGAGCATGCACTTTTCTGCACAAGCTTACAGCTGGCCTTGGGCTATTTGTAGGTCTCTCCTCGGAGTCCTTATCTTCCTCTAATGGAGTTGACATTCACTCAACTCCGTGGCGATTCCCACAGGGTTCTCCACAGTTCCCGTTCAAGGGTTGCAGTGCCTGCAATAGTTCCTTTCCACTCACAGTCCCGCTTGATATGTTGTTTTTTCTCATTGTTATTGTTTTCTTTCTTTTGGTCGGAGTGTACCGGCTTTGTGGGTGGCTTGGGTAGCAGGGTTCTGAGCTTTCCTATTTTTTAGTCCTCTTTAATGGGAACTTTCCTCTTAGGGCAGTTTGCCAGAGTTGCCTGTTTATCTTCTGTATCCTGGTTTTCACAGTGACCTGCCGCTTTTCCTCCCTATTATTTTTTTTTTTTTTTAATGGGAGGACTTACAGTGTTTCCCTGCCGCCATGTTGATCTCAAAAGTTAACTAGATTCTTAATATAGCAAAATATGGATTGGGCTGTGTGGGTGACAATGTGAAGGAATGGAGTTATTAGCACACAGTTTTAGTGGAAATAGTGTATATTAGGGCAGAAGATGGTGTTGAAAGCTTGGATAGATACATAGGTGAATCCAGATTGGGCAAAGATTTACATGTTTTTCTTTGTTTTTGTTAGGGTAATTTGTCTAGATATTTCTCTCATTTCAGTGAGAATGTGGAGTCAGGGTTATAAGATTTGAGTCCATGAATTACACTGTTATATTTCTACCTAGGTCGATAAAAGTTAGGTACAGTTAAGAGTTCATATGATAAATGATGATAAATGGGGATAAGATCTCCAGAATTGATTGAGCTATCAGGAAAAGACCATTCATGGTAAACAAAAGGCTAACAGCAGTTTAGTAAAAGAGCAGGATTATATAACTAAGATTCTCTCCCCAGGAACTCTGATAAAATGAAATAGTAGTATCAGGTTTTATATGCCAGGCCATTTCTAAAGAAGGTCCATTTCATAATGTCAAACTATAAAGATGATTTATTGTACTTTTTTCTAGAAGAACCCTGCCAAGTTGATGAACAGATTGAGAGACAGCACCAGAATGACCAAGATAAATATTTGTTGATGCAATTTGGATTCCCAGACAAAAAAATAATTACCTCCACCAAGAGTGGCTATGAGTATAATGAATTTGGGAACACACTTCATCTGAATACAAACCTTATTCCTCCCATACAAAGACCCCACAAGTATGAATTATTTGGAAATAATATGGTAGATAATTTAGACTTATTTGGTAGAAGCTCTGCAGGAAAGAAATATGATAGTGGATGTGCAAAATTATTCTTCCATCCTGAGTATGAGAAGACAAATCCTGGAGTGAAACCCTATGGATATCGAGAGTGTGGGAAATCCCTCAAGCGAAAGAAAGGTCTCAGTCTACATCAGAGAATTAAAAATGGAGAGAAACCCTTTGAATGTACTACATGTAGGAAAACCTTCAGCAAGAAGTCACACCTCATTGTACATTGGAGAACTCATACGGGAGAGAAACCGTTTGGATGTACTGAATGTGGAAAAGCCTTTAGCCAAAAATCTCAGCTCATTATACACCTGAGAACTCACACAGGAGAGCGACCCTTTGAGTGTCCTGAATGTGGAAAAGCCTTCAGAGAAAAGTCAACTGTCATCATACATTACAGGACTCATACAGGAGAGAAACCTTATGAATGTAATGAATGTGGAAAAGCCTTCACTCAAAAGTCAAACCTCATTGTCCATCAGAAAACCCACACAGGTGAGAAAACCTATGAATGCACTAAATGTGGGGAATCTTTTATACAGAAGCTTGACCTAATTATACATCATAGTACTCATACAGGGAAAAAACCTCATGAATGTAATGAGTGTAAGAAAACTTTCAGTGATAAGTCAACTCTCATTATACATCAAAGAACACACACAGGAGAGAAACCTCACAAATGTACCGATTGTGGGAAGTCTTTCAATGAGAAGTCAACCCTCATCGTGCATCAAAGAACTCATACAGGAGAGAAACCCTATGAATGTGATGTGTGTGGAAAAACCTTTACTCAAAAGTCAAACCTTGGTGTACATCAGAGAACTCATTCAGGAGAGAAACCCTTTGAATGTAATGAATGTGAGAAAGCATTCTCTCAGAAATCCTATCTCATGCTGCACCAGAGAGGTCATACAGGAGAGAAGCCCTATGAATGCAATGAATGTGAAAAAGCATTTTCCCAGAAATCATATCTCATTATACATCAAAGAACTCATACAGAAGAAAAACCGTATAAATGTAATGAATGTGGCAAAGCTTTCAGAGAAAAGTCAAAGCTCATTATACATCAGAGAATTCATACGGGAGAGAAGCCCTATGAATGTCCTGTATGTTGGAAAGCTTTTAGCCAGAAGTCACAGCTCATAATACATCAAAGAACACACACAGGAGAGAAACCCTACGCATGCACTGAGTGTGGCAAAGCCTTTAGAGAAAAATCGACATTCACTGTACATCAAAGAACTCATACTGGAGAGAAACCTTATAAATGTACAGAATGTGGGAAAGCTTTTACCCAAAAATCAAATCTTATTGTACATCAGCGAACACATACAGGAAAGAAAGCCCATGGGAAAGGCCACACTCGAAAGTCAAAGCTCATCACACATTAGAGAGTAAATCATCTGTGCCTGCTATGTACACTGAAGGGAAGTTTTGTCAAGTAACATTTTTAAAGTATGTTCTGACTTATGATTTAAATATGGGAAGTAAAGTCAGCCTTTTTTTCCCTCTTTATCTCAGTATTTACCCAAAAGCTACAGGGAGAAGATGAAGTATAATCTCTGTATATGACAAAACTGAGCTCACTAAAACCCTGATGAGAGGCCTGTTAGAGGCAGAGGAAATCAAGCACCAGTGCAGGAGATCACAGAACACTGAAGGCTGCAGATGTGAGACAGCACTGGTGAGGACTCTTAGCTGAGGTGCAGATGTGAGGTGACCGTATATATACACAGCAACAGTGACAGAGGGCTTGGGCAGGTGGAAGGTAAGATGTTTCATAGTCCCATTTGGTCTGAGGAGAGATGTGTCGGGCCCTCAACAAGGAATCGTTCACACAAGCCATATTTGCAGAGGTAGTCTGTGCTCATGGAAGGGGCAGTTGATAGGGGCTGGGACAAGTGAAAGGAATGTTCCTTGTGAAGAACCTGCCCCTATTAACTGACTGGAGAAATCAAGTCTGGAAGAACTACCAAACGGGAAGGGAAAATCCCAGTTACAAGAAACACTCTAATCTGCCTAGAACGTGGCCCCAATTTCTTCCCCCACATGAGCCTCTCGCAAACAGCAAGTCCAGGAAAAACTCTTATTCAAAGAGGAATGATTCCAAAGTAATCAAGACCACAAATACACGGCTTTTGAGCCAGCCATTCCATGTAAGGAATGTATATTCTCATGCATGTACAAATTGATGCACTGTTTGTGACAACAAAAGATTGGAAGCTGTCCAAAAAACAAGCCAGGGATCTGGTTCCTGAAATCCTAGTACATTCATACAACAAACTCCTATGTAGAAAAAAATGAGTAAAAATGTAATCTGGACACCATTTGTGTGGTGATGTGGGGCGATCTCTAACATACATTAGATGGGAAAACGATGCAGGATAGAGAGTATAATATACCATTTGTACATAAAAAGGAGAACAAATGGTCAGTACATAATTGAATGTATATGCATAAACTATCTCTGGAAAGATACATGAGAAGCTGGGGACTCTGGTTATCTCTGGGAAAGGGTAGGGGAAATGGGTGGCTGGGGGAATCGAGTTGGGAAGGAGACAACTGTATATCCTTTCATAACTTTTGAAAATTGTACTATGTGGATGAATACCTTTTCAATAAAAACTTTTTAAAAAGTTCATTTTGCTCTATTACTGTAATAATGAAGTCAAGATTCTAGATATAGGATTTCATAACATTTAATAGAGATTCCCTCTGTGGAGTTTAATTTTCTTTTTGAGAGAATAAATTAAGTAATCAGACAGCTAGAAGAAGAGATACCCATTTGGTTCCAAAAACACAAGGGCATTTCTTTCTTGATGGTGCCAAGTAAAGTAATTCTCAGGTCAGTGGGGACCACATTGTGTAAACCTAAAATAATTGAGACTGGGACACCTCACTTATTTGGTTTGCACAGCACATCTGAAAAGTCCTGGACTAAAGCCCACCAGTGTCTTTCTGAATCTGGAAATGGTTTAAATTACTTTGTGTGTGTGTGTGTGTGTGTGTGTGTATTTGACTCTTGAATAACATGGGTGTACACTGCATAGGCCCACTAATGCATGGTTTTTTTTTTTTTCAGGACAGCACACTAAATGTATTTTCCTGATAACATTTTCTCTCCTTTATTGTAAAGAACACAGTCTGTAATCCCTGTGGCGTACAAAATGTGTTAGAGGCATGTTGGCTTCCAGCTATTAGTAAAATTTTGAGGGAGTCAAAAGTTATATGTGGATTTTTGACTGTGGGGGGTTAATGCTCCTGACCCCTGCATTGTTCAAGGGTCATATGTATATATGTTTGTGTGTGTTTTACAAGAGATGTTAATCATCAGTCGATAGAGAGGAGTAACTAGGCTGCCAGGTCATGATAACATTTCCCAAGGTGAAAAATTGAGAGCCAGGGTCTTCAGGGACACAAAGACCCTGTGACACAAAGACCATGTGGCTGCATGTTTGCTCCTGAACAAGAAGTCCCACTTGTGAATGACCATATTTGTGGCCCTCATTTCTATGGCTTTTCACGGGGCCCATCTCTGTGGTAGAACTTGGCACCGCAAGCTAAGTAAAACTTGGGTATAACTAGTGTTTGGATTTAACAAAACAGGAGGGTGAATCAGACCTGAGAACCTGTCTGTGCCCTCTGAGGCCTTGTTTTTTCCCTAAATTATCCTGCAAGAAAATGAGTTATGCACTCACTTTTTATGAGCTGCCTAAGTCTGACACCTAACATTTAGTGCCTTTCCAGGGGAAAGGATGACTAGGGAAAACAGGACTTAATTATTCCTGGTGTAATCTGAGAAGATGCCCCAAGGAACCAAAAAATGAAGCATTTCATCTTCCTGCTGATAGAGGATGCTGCTGGGGTTTCAGTCCCATCAAAGGTCACTCTGTAGAGGGGTGGGGGGAGAGTTGCCACTTCAGGTTGATCTTAGACCCTGTGTGATGGGCCATGTGGAGGTGAGTGAAGCATGGGCCTAGCGGGAAGGGATGGGGATGAGCAGCGGGGTCTGGATAAATGGACTGGAGTTAGGGGAAGAGAGCGACAACGAAGAGCAGAGTGGGGCTCAACAGGGGAGAGTAGGGGGAATTAGGAAATGTCCAGTGGAGTGAACTGCTGAGGACAAGTCAGTGAGTCTGAGTAAATAGGAGGAATGGCAGGGAGAGTGGGTGTGTGTGAATTTGAGTGAATGGGCAGACAGTGTGAGCAGAGAAAATTGGAAATGACATAAGGCACAGTGGGAACAATAGTTGTGACTAGGGCAGTCAGGCAGGTGGCAAAAGGTAGCAGAGTGTTAGTGTTAGTGCAAAGAGGAAGGGTGGTCATTGCTGTGGCAAACCCTTGGAATGGGGGGATGGGGGTGCTGTATGTGGTGAGCAGTGGGCTATACAAGTCGGGATCCATGATTCAGAATGTCATGGTGTCGGCAATGAGGAGTTGGTCACTGGGGTTTCTGTACAAAGAGGTGCTGCCCCAAGGACCCCATGGTGACCAGGTATGCAGGATGGGAGTGCCTGCATTCAGAGCACAGTGCCTTTGTGGTCTTGTTATTTATGCCAACTCAGAGGGAGAGACCCCACCAGAAGTGTATCCCTGATACCTCCCACAAATCAGCTCTGCTGTGCTCATGGGCCAGCACTGAGTCCTGCCCCCATTATTTATGCCAGTTATTTGTCTTATTTCATAATCCAAAAACTCTAAAATGATAGTCATCATGATCCCTCTTCAACCTGTTCCCTAGGGCCCTCGGGACTATGCTGGAATCCTTAAGATCAGCCCTGTATACCTCTGATTGGCCCTATAACCCTTCAGATCAGTACTGGCCCCAATATTTTAATTTTTAATTTATTTTTTAAAGATTTATTTATGCATACAAGAACTGGGGTGTAGGCCAGAGGTGCAGGGTGGTGAGAGGATTCACCAGAGACAGAGTGGAGAGCAGGACAGGTGGATCTACTGAAATACACTGCTGAGGGGAGCAGCAGGTGAGAACAGGAGAGGTCTGCTGCACCATGTGGGTCAGCTCCCTGGCTGGGATTGAACTCATGTTGCAGTGGCTGCAGATAGCTCTATAGTGCTAACTTAATAATCCCTTGCACCATCAGTGAGGATCAACCCTCCCCATATTTTAATCAATTATATTAGTTGTTTGAAAAAATTTCCAAACTATGAATTATGATCCCTTCTCATCTCATTCTTTGGCATTTGGTACATATGAGAAATTCCCTTGATACAATAATAGACTCTAATACACTACCAGGCAAGCTATTTCAGAGGTCTCAGAATGGAAAGGTTCATAGGCCAAAATAAGATACTCAAGTCACATGACCTATTAAATTGATTTAAAAATGCAAAATCCAGATTTTTAAAACGTGTAGAAGCAAAGGGAAAGAGATGGAGCAAGTTAGCACACAGAGTGCAAGCAGAAGGAAGAACCATATTTCCCGGGTCCTATGTTACCCCGAGTTCATTCACCCTGCCCATGCCTCCTGTCTCTGTTGCATCATCCTCATTGGTTCCGAGGACCTGTACTGAGGTTTGAACAGGGGGCCCAATCAGACTGATGGTACCCAGGGCCAATGACATACCTGCTTGCTTTGGCTGTAGCTCACCAAATAGCCTTCTGCACAGTCTTGGGTTTTGTCTGTTCAATGGGACAATACTGTCACCAAGTAATGGCTGATTTAAGTAAAATAGAGACTTGGCCTCATTCCTTTCTGTCTGTCAGTAAAACTCTTGTTTTTTCATCATGTATTCCATTCTATTTATGTCTATATAGCCTATATATACATATGTATTCCTAGATATCTTTATATATGTCTGTATATATACATATAGGAGATATATATATATATATATGCAAATTACAAACTTACTTGTTAACTATACTTAACATATGGGCCTCCCTGGTGGCGCAGGTGTTAAAGACACAGTGCTATCAAGAGATCACCAGCCATTGCAGCATGCGTTCGATCCCCGGCTGGGGTGCTAACCCACATGGTGCAGCAGACCTCTCCTGTCTCGCCCGCTGCTCCCCTCAGCAGTGTATTTCAGTAGATCCATCTGTTCTGCTCCCCACTCTGTCTCTGGTGAATCCTCTCACTACCCGCTCCTCTGGCCTACACCCCAGTTCTTATATGCATAAATAAATAAACCTTAAAAAAAGCAAACATGAATTCTGCCCGTGTCTTAAAGCTGCTTGCTTACTCATTGTCCCTCAAATATCCTATGTGTTTTACTCATGCTGAAGCTCCTAACTTGTTTATTATCTATGCTTAACACGAATTTCCTCCATTACATTTGTTTTTGTGTCCTCTAGAGGACAAACCATAGGGAAAATCAAGTATTTCTTTGAAAAAATTAAAGTGGGAAAACCTACACTGATCAAGGAGAAAAGAAAACACACATTTTCAAATCAGGAATAATACAGTGGCTATCACTACAGATCCTATAAATATTAAATGAATAGCAAGGGATTTATGAAGAGGCTGTATGCCAATAGAGTTGACAATCCAGTCAATGCAATTAATAAAGGAGAAAATTTGTATAAAGATCTACATAAATGCAGAAAAAGAGATAAAGTTCAATACCCATCTGTAATATCAATTCTCAGCAAACTAGGAATAGGAGAGAACTTCCTTATTCTGATGAAGGGTGTGTTAAAAGAAAACCATAGCAAATTTAATAGTAATAGGGTAACAACTCTGCTCCTTAGTTTAGGAATGAGACAAGGATGCTTGCTAAGCCCACTTCCATTCAACACTGTCCTGAAGACTTTAGTCAGTAAAATAAAGCAAGAAAAAGAAAAGAAATAAAGACTGGAAAGGAATAAATAAAACTCACTGTCGATGATATGTACACAGAAAATCCAAAGGGATCTACAGATAAATTACTAGAATTAATAAGTGAATTTAGCAACAAACAACTAGGAAACCAAAATAGCATAGCTTTTATTTTGGGGAACAGAGAACTGATGAGGCCAGAGATTCTTGAAAAGAGTTTAAATTTGGGTGGGATGGCATCTGATTGTAAAACACAGGAGAAAACACTTTGAAGGCTTCTCACAAGGATGAGAAGAAAGAAGAACAAAACCACAAAGTTAAGGCCAGAACTATAAATGTCTGAATGCATAAGGAAAGGAATTGATGACAACAAGAAATGAAAAGCCAGGGAAGGAAAGAATGACCTAGAAAGGCTTGTTCCAGCTGAAGGAGCAGGGATCAAATCCTGAGGACAAGGAAGGCAGGCAGGTTTGTTTCTCTAAGGAAAGAATAGGGGAAGTCGAGGAGAGAGCACATAATCCGAGGAGCTCACGTCCACGTCCTGGAACAAACAGGCCTACCTCTCCTTTAAGGAAGACTGACGCCTTACAGATGTCATACAAAAGGAATCTCCTCCTCACCAGAGGGAATCTTCTGTCCTCCATCCCCCAATCTGCAGTTCTCACTCACCTATGCAACTTCAGACTTTTCTCTCTGCCATCCAAGCTTCTACTTTCTCAAACTTGAAGATCAAGTCTGCTTTGGTAACTTGGTAGTCTGTAAGAGGACATGATTCAGGATGTAAGACCAGCTGCTGGGGGGCCTCTGCGGAGTGAGGA